TCTTCTCCTTTTGTCCTCCCACTTTTAATCATAAGATGAATTGAATACCTATGTYAAAATAAACAGTAAGAACCAAGAAATGAGGCAAGATATGTGTGAGTCTCGTTAGGAACATTCTGCTTGGAGAACTATGTTCAGGTTGTGTGAGGCATTTTCAGCACACAGCCTATTTCCTGAGGGCATGTGTAGAYCATTAGCCAGTCAGTGGGGTTTGATTCAGTCCATTCCAGTATGTGATCATCAGATAAATACACAGAAAGTAGAAAGTGTTAGCTGAGGCTTTGGGTGAGAATTCCTCCTTTAGTAGCTTCTTAATATTTTATATTTTTCTTTAGTTTCTGATTCAAGACTCTGTCTTTCAGAGGCATCTAGTAATTCTCCAGAGTCTTGGTACTCAGCCATAGAGGAATCAATTGGGTAACACCAGGTTTGATTAGGATATTAGTTGCCATTCAGCTTGGACACTGTGGCTGACCACTGATGTTGAAATTACTTTCTGTTTGCAAATTTGATATTATCATGTTCTTTGGTAAACTTCTGGTGTAAAAGTTGTTTTAGATACAACAATAATAATAATAATGTAACAACAATAAAAGGAGTTTTAGCCAGCTATTTTAACATGGTGCATTATTATCCTAGCTATCAATCTACTATCAATGAAATATTAATTTATCTGAATAATACTGAAAAGTTAAGAATTTTCAATACCCTTATATATGTTTGAGTGAGAGATTTCTTGGAAAAAGGCACAGAGAAGTCTTTCAAGAGAGTAAAATTCGAGATGCATTTATTTCCCAGAACTTCCTTTTAGTTATCAAAATTACATGTTATATGGTGCTGTTGAAGATCTCCTGTTCTGAAATGTATAATGTACACTGTGTTATAAATCCATTGTTAAAAAGTTGTAAAACTTTTGTGAACCCCAGATCTGGAATTCACTTCAGAGCAGTGTTTGAAATATTCCATTTTGGAAGTTTGTTTAAACTCAAACAACAAAACTGCACCAGAGCACTGGGGCATCCTTGTCTAATAGCTTATTACCAACCTCCTGGGGMCTCACTGTCATGAAAGGCACTATATAAGCTTAGAGGGATTTTTCTTCTTGCCCCATGTGTAGTTTAGATGCCATTTGCAGTTAGTGTGTACTGGTAGTTTACTTCAAAAGAATGCTGATTGAGGCCTGAGGAAAAGATTGAGCTATGTGCGAAAAAGAGGCAAAAAAATAAAATACTGCTTTGCTGTTCTGCTGAGATACATCTGTGCTGGCTGCCAAATGCTTATTCCTAGTTTGAATTCAAAACTGATCATTTCAGCCTGTAGAGATAAGAACAAAGTCAGATCACATTTGTTTAAATATTTGSTGTTTTTTAATAAAATCATTTTCTAAGTATTACTGTACTTGCATCTTTCACGAGAGTCAATAAAAGAAAAACCTGTTCATTCACCTGAGAGGAGGAGAGCTTGTACTAGCGTGCTTACTTTTTTTGAGACTGTAGGCCAGAATACAATCGTCTCCAAATACCTCTGGACAATAACTGTAAAAAGAAAAGGGTGCTTCACGGTGCTCCACAGATGACCTTATTTCATCAGCTTAGCTTTTTAATGTCTGTTGCAGGTTTTTTTCAAGAAAAGGCAGTGGATAGTGTTGTCAGAGGTACCCAAATCTTTGAACTGTAGTTGGGTGGTTTACCTAAGCCCTTTAAGAAGACCTAAATATCAACCATGTCTTCAAAACTTTCTGAAGAAGTTCTCYTATTTTGTAAATTTCTCTTCTTAACTAATATGAAGAGAATGTGAGAGAATATTGCTGTTGCTTTTAAGAAAAAGACAAAATTATTATAAAAGCCTGATTTAATATAAGCTATGTTCCCAACCACACTCCCATAGTTTAAAAGCTAAACCCTAGACCTGTGCAAAGCAAAAATGAATGAGACAAATTTCTCATTGTCTCAAATTGCACAAATACAACTCATTGGTCAATTCATTTTTGGTATTATTTTCCTTTGAGTTGGTAAGTTATGTGTTATTTGTGCCTTATAGCAGGTAATTATATTTAGGGACTTCAGAAGTCCTGATCAGTTTTTCCTCCTTCTGTAAGATCTACCAGTGGTTCATTTCTTTGCAGCTAGTTCATTTATTTCACTCAAGTGTGTAGATGTAAATATTATATACATTCAAAGGTAATTCCATTATTCAAGGTCCTACACAACTTTTCCTGGACAAGTTTCTGTAAATCATTCWAGCCTGGTTGAATAAACATGGCTTTAGAGATCAAACGTGAAACACCTTGGCTTGAAAATAAAATCCTAAAATTATTTACATTTTCACATCAATATGTATTATTGGAACAAATTATTGGTCATTTTTCTGCACTTTAAAACCCAAAAAAATACACAATCTTTCCCAAATTATAAGATTTTTTACTGGGAAATTTGTCCAGCTATTTACTGTATTTACTATATTTTTTGTATTTCAGATGATGGGAAACACATTGATTCTTTCAAAATAAATTATGGTTTTAAAATACATAAATGTATGTTGCCCTAATAAATGACAATTTATATGAATAAAAGGAAATAAAGAACTTGAGGGCTTTATTTAGATCCAGTCTGTTATTGTAAATGATGCTGTCAATTTATTTATTTTTTTTATAACCTCTGGCAACAGAAGATTATTGTGAGAAATGATTCATATCGCTGCACTATATACCTTTCAAAATTTCCATATCTGGCAACTAATAGGCACTTCTTGAAGGCTTCAATAGGCTCCTTAGCCAGATAATATGGCTGGAAGCTGCCTCATGATTAATTTCATCTAAATGTGGTAATTATCATACTTTGAAGTAATGCCTGCAGAACATGCCTTCACAGAGAGTTAGTGGAAGCAGAGGATTAACCTAGAAACATTTCCGTTCAGAGCAGAATATCACTGAAGCAGAAATGTATTTTCTTCCAAATTTTTTGAGATTTTTTTATTAGACTGCTTGGCAGTCATTTGCATTACCTTATCTCATATCAACTTCTCCACAGCAATTTAGAAAGCAACAGAAACAGAAGCAACTTTGTATTATTAGCAGCAATGGGATAGTTTTGGGTTTGCAAGCAACTTAATTTGACAGYTTCTGCCCTGAAGTACTTCTTGTATCAGCATTTAAGAGCACAATTCATTTATCTTTCACATATGTTATGGACATAAGCATTATCCTGCCTCTATTCCCAGCACACTACAGCTTATTAGAGAGGATGTAAATGTAGTCATAACTACCCAMGGGATTAACTTCTACCTCTCCTCCTTTGCTCCTGTCTCACAGCATCTTCATGAACCATCTCTTGGTTCCCCAGGTGACACTTCTGAAAAAGGTGTGTGAGGTGCCAAGTAGATTTCCATAAATGGATGAATTCTGCACCCAGTTAAAAGCACYGAGGTGGAATAGTACCAAGAATTATAACGGAGAGAGAAGCAATCTCTGASCATTTCTGCACACTTACACCTCCTTAGAAAAGATTCCAAACCTCTCAGCCATCAGAAAAAAAGTCTGACAAAAAAAGTTGCACAAAAATCCCTTTTTTAGTGAAGGTGAGACTGAACAGCCCTAGTCAAGGCTTTCTGGCAGACTTTGTGTCTGACCATGCTGCATTTTGATCCAGCTAAGTCCTTTCAGTTTTGTTTCAAACAACCAGGGACAGATTTTGCCTACTCTTACATGGACCATATGTAGGACTGAGTTTCTCCAGGTTCAAAAGGTGTAGCCTACTTCAAAAAACTGCATGAATAGGGTGCCTTTCATTAAATCTCTGTACTCAGGCTGCCAGCACATCCTCCTCACATTTCTGCAACCTGACAAGGTGCACATGCTGAGCAGCCACAGCTCAGCTACTATGTGTGAACCATGGTATCTCCACCACACATCAAACCTCACGTATTTCTTCACACAGGTTTTCCTGTATTTACACTTAGGGTTAAATGAGTGCCACTGTACCATGAAACAAACAGAGATGAAATAAATCATTGCATCATTCCAATGTGCTTTAAAGCACATTGTTCAACCTCTAAAGAACATTGTGTCTGCCTTCATCCTTCCTGTGTTTTTATGCATATGTTTTTGGGTTTTTTTTTTCTCTTACAGATAAAAAAGAAGCTGCTGTATCCAAAGAACTCAAAAGTAAGAAACTATTGTCCTTTTATTTGCCATGAGATTTCAAAAAGTGCATTTTATTAATCCAAAAATAATAGTTATTGGGTTGTTGAAAATACAAAGAAAGTAGCTGCACCSTTTTTGATTGAAAAATGACATGTTTAGACTTCAGCTGTCTCCTACTTTCTAAATCCATTCTTATCCTACTTCTAATTGCACAGTCCTCTTTGTGACTGACAGTTTTGCCTTCCCATCTTTCCTATCACTGTCTTTAAAAACAAAGGTTTCATAGGGGAGGAAATGTCAAATTGAGGTCTCAGCTGAATGTTCTCTCAGTGGCAGCAATTCTCATAAATAGTCTGGGAAGACTCAAAGTTCAACATTCTGAGGAACACYAAATTTATCTTCACAAATGCAAAACAAGGGCTCTGCCTGTCTAGGCACCTCTGGTTCCAGCATAGACACTTCTGAGGCTGAAGAGAGATGGGAATTGTMCTCTTCTGAAAAAAATAACCAAAAAAATGCTCTGAGAACATGGCATCATTAAAAAGGGAACACCTACATATTCCTTTTCTATAAATCTGCAAGCGTCAATGCCTCAGTGTAATAAGGACAGTTAGACACTTTCTTTGGTAAAACATCTGCTCAGCATTCCGTTCTTAAAATGCAGTATGTAAGAAAAATTAGGAAAAATATTGGGCTTCGAAATCTGATTCAAATTCACAATTAAAGAGTACACTGACTCCTACCTCCACGTACGGACTTTCATGACTTGTGTGGCAGAACAATCTCCTGCCATCCTCAGTTTTGCAGCAATTTATTAAAATACTTATTTTGGCAATGAAAAAAGAGCTTGTACATTGGGTTCTTAGGCAAATTTTGTAGAAATATCCAACAAAATATTTAATAGACTTATTCTACAAGTAATGTCCTGTTACTGAAATAAATTCCTGTTTTCAAGCAAATCTTAAAGGAAGCATTTATTTGGACACATAATTCCTCAGAGCAACCTTCCAGGCCTAAAGGAGGCCTACAGAAGAACTGGAGGAGGGCTTTTCACAAGGGTATYCAATGACAGGACRAGGGGAAATRTCTTTAAACTGAAAGAGAGTAGGTTTAGATTGGATGCTAGGGAGAAGTTCTTTGCTGTGAGGGTGGTGAGGAGTTGGAACAGAGAGAAACTGGAATTGTCTCATCCCTGRAAGGGTTCAAGGCCAGGCTGGATGGAGCTTTAAGAAACCTGGACCCATAGAAGGTGTCCCTGACTRTCAGTGGGGTTGGAATGAGACGATCTTTAAGGTTCCAACTCAAACCATTCTATGATTCTTATCATGGATGAATTCCCCAACAGCTGTCACAGCAAAACTACCCAACTCTATCACAAGTGAACTTTGCAGAGTGAAATTTGCTGATGAAGCTTGTTCATGTAAAGATGCAGAATCATAAGCACGTAAATAATTTTTTAGTCACAAACTGAAAATCGTATGCTTGAAAAACGCAAGTTTAAACTTTTGTGCTTTTGTTTCAATGTGACTGAAAAGTTATATAAAAATTTAAGTAAATTACAGACTTTTTAGTCAAATGAATCCTTAATTTTATTTTTTCCAAAATTATTTAAAATCAAAATCTTTGTAGAACAAAAAGAACCCTAAATTAGTTTGTTTTCACAGATGTTATGAAAAAAAAGTAAAAAAAAAGTTTCACTGTCAAGCATGCTCTAGCTGAGAGCTCAGAAGGGGATAAATGAAAGAGTCCTGCAATTTTGTWTTAAGTCCATTTGACCCTTGTAGAACATACACGCTGGATGTCTTACTTCTGCAAAAGCAGGCACTTGGAAAAGTAATAGTAAGAAAATTCTTCTTCAAGGTCTCCTCCAAATTTCCCTGAAGGAGGGGTGAGCACCCCAAATTATTTCAATGCCAAGATAAAAACTAAGTTAGGATATAATTATCTGCTGTGGGCTTTTAAATGGATGGAAACAAAGCAATCACACACACGCAAACTATATTTTGTTTCCATTCTGTTTCACAAGCTAATCTGATGCATCTTTTATGAACTTCTCAAAAGACTGAAGGGAAAGAATTCAAAATTACATTCCTGATTTAGCCATGTTATTTTTCATTGTAATAATACAGTGACAGATGTGAAAGATTAACGAACATTTTTTTGGCATTCTGTAATTCAGCTTGTGGTTAAAATGATTAGCTATTTCCTCTCACGATATGGMAATGTGAATTTTAAATTAAAGGACCTCCTAGTTGATACAAAAAGTCCTTTATGGCAGTCAGTGGAGTTTAGCTTATGGGTATCTGTTAAATTATTTTGATAAGTACAGTCTGTTTTGATAGYTCCTGAGCATCAAAGCAATTAACTATACACTAGTAAATAGTAAATAAATCTAGTAGGCTACTTAGGTTCTTCTACTTGAAGCTGAGATTTCCCAAAGCCACTTGGAGATGCACATAGCATTCATCATCTGGACCTTCATTCTGCTAAGAAATGTTCTACAAACAAAGACAGAATAATGGAAATACTTCATGAGAAGACCTAGAACAGATCTGCAGTTAAACGGCCTGAGACAGTGTGTTTCTCCACTAGGAGAACACAGCAGCTGCTCTTTCAATTGCAGGATCAAASAGGAAGACATTCTCCTAATGCTCCTCCGCTCTCCAGGATGGAGGGAGATTCCTGGCATAGCCAAGCCTGTGRATGTACTTTGCAAAAGTTGCCCAATTTCACTTTTTCTAAACAGGGCAAGTTTCAGATTAGGGGAAAGGATGCCACTGAATATCTTGGATCCCTGAAGTACCTCATGAGAGTGAGTCCTCATCAGCTGGCAGAGRCTGGTTCAGGACCTTCTGCTCTCATTGCTGCCACATCAAATGCAGAGGCTCCCAACACACAGCTGCTGCCTGGGGGCCAAGGCAGGCTATGCTGAAACCATTACATGCCTCCTTTCCTCTGCTTTGCCAATAGATATTGAATTACTAAGCAGAAAAAAGCTGAAAGAAGTGATYCAGTGCCTAACAACAAGAGCTTACTACCCCTTCAGCTGGTTATTCKGTTGTTGTCTTTGAGTTTATTGAAGACAACTCAGCTTTTCTCTCTTTGGGCAATCTCTTTGTTTAACTCCTCAGTGAAAAAAGTTGTTACAGGCTTCCTCACTGGAAGCCTTTCCTCAGATTTCCGTGGGTTTTTTAAGATATAATCCTTTGTAATAAATGTTTTGTTTTATTTTTTTAAGGGCCAGCAAAAGCTCCTGCAGCCAATCCAGCCATCAAAAAAGCTGCAGCCCCAGGTAAAGAAAAAAAAATGTTTGCATACAGTGTATTTCTTGTGCTCTTGAACCAGTTTATTGCATCATAGCACCATCTGCTGGATTGCACAAAAACCAGTGGTCTTAATTGTCAGGGTGGTTTTTGTTGTTTTGCTCTAAATCATTGTGATAATTCGYGTGCGAAATATTTGCTAAGAACGAAAGTATTTAGCCTTCATTTCTAACCTTATGTTTGCTTCTTGTTCTCCCGTGGGAGCTGCGGGTGCCATACTGGGCCATTCTGCAAGGCTTGAGATTAAAAGAAAATAATCTGAACATAAAAACTGATTTCAAAARCAATATGTAGAGAAATTAGTTTCCATGTGAAGCTGTATTCGAGCCCTTCGAGAAGAGGATCTGATTTTTCAATGTGCTGATCTCACAGCAGGTTTTCAAAATGGATCTCTTAAATAATAATAAATATGCACTGAAAGGACAAGAMAACTTTTCTTAAACATGTAATGACATAAATTCCTGTCTGAATTTAGATTGGATTGTAAAACTCTACTAATTTTTATTTATTTATTATTTATTTCTTCTGCTTCACAGTCATCTTCAAAATATCACATCTCATTTCTGCTAAATTAAATAAAACCCAATATAAAGAATAACGATATGAATAGCCATTATATTTGCAGATTGACTAAATTTTATATTAACTATCAAAAAACTTATGAAAACATGGAGAGTATGAAACCATAGTATTATTCTGGTCTAAAGCAGGGCAGCCAGTGCTGCACCAGATTGTGTGCTATTCAGCTGTGCCTGGTGCTGGCATCCCAGGAGTGGTCAGCCCACTTTTCCTTCTGCTTCTTGCCTCCAGCTGATCCCCCTGTATGGATCTGGGATCTTTTTGTTCCCTTTCTTTTTAAAATATTGTTTTCTGGCTATCTTTTCCCAATTCAGGCCGTTTCAGTGCTCTATCTCAGAAATCTCTGCCTCTGAGAAAGGGAATAGTAACTTGCGTCAGTACAGGTGATTGGGAATTGGTCGAGGATCAGTGCAAGCCRGGAAAACCTTCAGTTGTCTCTCCCACAGAAGGACTCTCAGCCTGGAATCGCAGTGGATGTGGGTTCTAGCAGAACACACTGCATGGCTGTACAAAGTCCTGTGGGAAGCYGGCCTTGGAAGCACCATTTCCCCAGCAGTKCTCCCCATCCCTGCCTGCTGTGTTTGTTTGACACCGTGTTTGCTTGTGTTAACAACGGGGGAACAGCGTAAACCACACCACTGCCATGGCTCGAAGCTAAAAGCTGTCCTAGGAATGTGTGTGTGTGGCATGGTGTTCAGTCTGGATCATTTCAGCAAGTCTGGCTCCACAAACATTTATATTCATGTAGCTGATAATTTCTTAAAGCAGCTTTGTTGCCAAAGTGTGTTGTACAGCTAGACCCTTAGAAATCTCAACAGTACGCTGTAGAAATCGTTATGTTAGAACCATATGCTTATAATTAATTCATTCCACCTGCTTGCATCCAATATTTGCGYTCATGTTTGAAAAATATTCCAATGAGTCTGCTTCTTGGCAAGAATGGTGATGACAGTAATCTGCTTAAGATAAAGAAGGGGAAAACTGGCATGGCTTCTTATGGAAAAAAATAAAATAAGTTTGTCTGTTCTAACACATTTTTAAATATCTAGTTTGCCTTAAAAATTATAAAGAGCAGGCTTTGAGTTCTGAATTTTTGCTTCCCCTCCAGTTCTCTGAAAATTAATTTATCACCAGAATAACTCACCATAGCAAAATATTAAATATGCTTGTTTGCCAACATTGTAAGTAGACTGTTGCCTATTAGCACAGTAAATTAAATACATTATCCAATTTCATATTTCATTTTCTTCCACATATCTTATTACATCACAACCTGTACCCAAGAATGCCTAAAGCTGAAGGTTTACTCCTCTTAACAGACTGAACAGACTGAGAGCACAGCTGGTCATCTTACAGTGCATCTACATCACATATGTTCCTGATCTTAATGTCACTGGTTAAGAAATCCCTGCCTAATCCAACAGGCACTATTTTTACCTCCACATATTTATATATATATAGAGAAAGCAAAGAAAGTGAATATGGAGTTTGGAAGACTATGAGAACTTCTGGATCTGGAAGCTGACAGCTGCTCTAGGAAACCAATCTCAATAAATTTCCTTTACTTAATTTTAACAGTGGATATGTTCAAACATTTTTAATTTTCTCTAACTGGAAAAAAAGAGCACCTCTCTGACAGTCATCAGAACCCAGGCTTGAGATGCCAGTATTTGGTTGTAAAACAGAATAGTTTCATAGCCATATGCAAGTGATACAGTTCTAAAGGGAGAAATCAGAGTTGAAATTGTTTTGTTGCACATCTTCCTCAGTTACCCTGTTTAATGCTGTCCCCATCCCAAATCCTGGTGTCATTTCCTCTTCTTTCTGCACAGTGCATTGTCTCCCCACCCGTGCCAGCAGGACAGGTCTGAGAGTGACCCACCCTTACAAAATATCAGCCTGTCCTTTTCCCCGAGGAGCCACAGAGGTTTCTTTCATAGCATTTCTCAGGCACCCCGTGTGTGCWGGGCCCAGCAGGTTCTCTGAAGGGTTTCTCAGAGCCAGGAGTGTGGGTGGTGAGCAGCTGCCTTATCCTGACAAAGGATGGCAAGGATAGGTTTGATGCGTTTGCTTTGTCACTGTGAGGAAAGCAAGTACGCGGCAGTGCAGGACAGGGAAGGGAGCACAGGCTCAAGCCATGAAGAGAGAATTTCCAGCTAAATTAGCAGGTGACAGTGTTCCTGTGTTTCCAGCTAAATTAGCAGGTGACAGCAACAAGTGGCACTGACCTTGTGCACTCCCTGAGCTTGGGACAGGAATGGGAACAGCTCATCTGTGAGTCCCTCTCAGGAGACAGCCCCAGTTCATAGGCAAAGCTCCTGCACCTTCTCCAACCCCCATGATAGTGCTTTTTCCCTATAATACACCTGATTTGAAAAACAGTTCTAACTCTTTTCAACACTGCAAAAATTAAATCCTAACTGCTGCTTAGAATATCCCTGGAATCGTCTTGAAATTTTTAACTTAATTTTACAGTATGTTTAACAGATTTTGTACCATCACTTAACTGCCAAATTATTGGGTTTTAATGCCTAATTTTCCCCATCTTCCTCTCAACATGCATGCAAGAAAAAAAATCATATTCATCACAAGCTTTGGATTCATAATAGAAACTTATTGAGCAGAAGTTCCCCCTTGAAAATCAATAAAATTTAGTCTGGATCCAGACAGAATAAAATAAGTATGACAGACAATAGCTAATTTCAAGTACTCAGATGTCAGCTGCAACCAATCTCCCAAACTGACTGCCAATTGTGCTAGAATTATTACTTTATTATGCCACCAATATTTCCACTGTTTGTAAGAAGCAGAGAGAGKACATCATATAGGAAATTATATAGGAAATGGGTTCATGGGGTAAGTACAGAATATTAGAATGCAGACTACACTGAAAAACTTGGTTAGAAGATGGGTTTTATAGGTTCAAACCACTCTGTCAAWTTCAGGAAGAACTACTGGTTTTACTAGAAATGGGCAGTATTTACTTAGGGAAGTTATTTTAATTCTTGGTTCAAGATAAATGTTTGCAACTAAAATGGCAGCAGGAAAACTATTGCYATAAGGTATAACCATTTTTATTCTACATAAAAAGGAAAAGAACCCAAAAGTTCTGGAACATTAAGTATGCTTTAAAATGTAGAAGATGTTCATCAAGGAGCTGACTTATTGATTGTCCTTTGATTATCRCCTGTAAGACACAAGTGCATAGAAAGAAAACTAAAACCATATAAATGTTACAGAGGATTAATAAAATTCAGCATGCTTGTTGAATAATTTACCACACAGTGGAACAGGCAAACTCATCATGCATTGTCTTTCAGATTTCTCAGACTCAGGTCTCAAGTCACAAGGCAGGGATGTGTTTTACTCACAGCACCACACCCTTTGCATCATCCATCAAACTATGTATTCTCATCTTGTGTGGATATGTGAACTCATATCTCCTTGTGTGGTCAGTCCAAAAGAAGAGACTTCAAAAATCAGGGTCAAGTTTATGTGACACACCCCCTGCAAGTACTTTTCAAAAAAAGGAAAGGACCTTGTCTCTCTCACTGTATATGGGCATAGTAAAGTTTGCCATCCTGCAATCTCGTCAGGATCTTATGTCTGAGTGYCTCTGTGTGCCCTGAAATTTCTCTTTCTAAACAGTCCCTGCACCTGGTGAGAGCATCTCTGTATGTATTTCTGTCATACTGATGTTACCAAAAAAATTATTCTGGTAGCTGGACTAGACATTTCAATTTTCTATTCCCTGAAGTTAACCCTCTCAGACTTTTTCAGAACATAAGCACAGYCATTCTCAGGGTTTATATTCCGGGTTTACAGTCTAACTCTTCAGGGACAAATGTTAGAGGAAACTTATTGAATGCATAAGGACAAGTTTTCCAGTTTATTTCTGTACAGGTGTTTATGCAGCAGTAAATAAAGTAATGAAGCCCTACCTGTATTAATACTTCTGCTCAGGGTCCTTGGATTTACATTCAAGATTGTTCTGTAGTCCTTCTGAATCATCAAAAGGCTTTATTTTCAGTCCACCATTCTTCTTCTGTCCCTCCATAGTTTTTTGAGAAGTTAAACATCATATCTTCTCTGATTTAGTAATTTTCTTTCTGGTTTTAATGGGATAGTTCCAGACTTTCCTGTTTTTGCACAGTAGCTGGAAATTATCTGATCTCAGTCCCCAGCAATTTGCCACAGGACAAGAGAAAATGGGTCTTGCTCCTCATTTTTTGTCCCAGGGTTGATTGTTTTACTGAAGCGTCTGCTCCTGGTGTGCCAGGAATGATCTGCACCCTCAGCACTGAGACCTTGTTGCTGTTGCAGTACTCCATCACTCAGCCACTTAATATCTGCAGGAATCTATTATGTGGAGAGAGATGTATTCCATAAA